TGAGCCGGTATCCCCAAGCGTCTGCTCATTTTGATGCTGGAGGTATCTCTGACCATGCTAGGTGTTTAGTTCGAATGACTGGCTCCTTAACAGAATCTAGAAAGCCTTTCCGGTTTTTTAACTACCTTGCTGAGCATCAGGATTTCTTACCAACAGTCAAGGAAGTCTGGGACACAACTGCGAGCTTATATCACTCAAGATCTGCTCTATCTTTGTTCCACAATAAGCTCAAACAGCTCAAGCAACCACTTCGGGCTCTGAATAAAAAGCATTATGGAAATCTACCAGCTAGAACAAAGCAGGCGTATGAAGAATTGTGCAAATGCCAAAATGAAGTGCTTATTAACCCGTCTCCGGAGAATGTGGAGAAAGCAGCAGCTGCAGAGGAGAAATGGAGCAAGCTAGCTCGCATTGAGGAAAAATTTTATCGACAAAAGTCATGTGTCCGTTGGCTGCAAGTAGGTGATCAGAATACAAGGTTCTTCCATTCTGTAGTGCGGACGAGGACTGCTCGGAACATGATACGAAGCCTGGTGAATGGTAGAGGGGAGGTACTTACTTCAGACTTTTTTGCAGAGTCAGGATTCTACATTGGAGGATATCTCCGTGGCGTCGCTGCAGGAACTGTTGACGTACCGATGCCCCACTGACTCGTCTGCAGTACTTGTTGCGCCAGTTACAGCTAAAGAGATATTTCAGGCGCTGCATGCCTTACCAAATGACAAGGTCACAGGACCCGATGGCTTCACGAAAGAGTTCTTTGTGGCAGCCTGGCCAATTATTGGAGGAGATTTCACGGTGGCTATACAATCATTTTTTCTCTTTGGCTTTCTACCCACAGGAGTGAATGCAACTATCCTCTCGCTTATACCGAAGTCGACTAATGCTCAGACAATGAAGGACTACAGACCCATTGCTTGTTGTAACCTATTATATAAGGTAATTTCTAAAGTCCTTGCCAATAGACTCAAGGTCATTTTCCCTGATGCAGTGGAGGCAAATCAGTGTGCATTCATCACAGACCGATTGTTGCTTGAGAATGTCTTGTTGGCCTCAGAGCTTGTCACTGGGTATCACAAGCAACTCACTTCAGCGAAATGCTCTATCAAGTTTGACATTTCAAAGGCTTTTGACACTGTCAAGTGGTCCTTTATAACCTCGGTTTTACAAGCGATGGGACTGCCTCTTCAGTTTATACATTGGATTCGGCTTTGTATCTCTACTGCGGCTTTCTCAGTGTCAGTTAATGGTAGCTTGGAAGGGTTCTTCACTAGTTCCAGAGGTATCCGTCAGGGCTGCTCTCTATCTCCATATCTTTACGTCATTCTCAACAATGTTCTATCCAAACTTTTAAATAAAGCGGCTGAGATAGGGGAGTTTGATTACCATCCACAGTGTGCGGGCGTCAAGCTTACTCATTTGAGTTTTGCTGATGATATTTTGGTATTCTCTAAGGGGACATCGGATTCTCTATTGGGAGTTATGGAGGTCATGAAGCGGTTTGCACGTATGTCTGGATTACATATCAATGCTGCTAAATCATCTATTTTTGTCTCAGGCATCAATACCGATGAACTTCGCGCTACAGCAGAGCTCTTAAACATCGGAATTGGCACCTTGCCCATTCGCTATCTTGGCATGCCTCTCACAACAAAGACGTTGACCAGTCACGACTATGAGCCGCTAATAGACAATATCCGAAGTAGGATGCTTTGCTGGACTAGTAAGACACTCTCCTATGCCGGGCGACTGCAGCTGATTAATTCGGTCATCTCTAGCGTCGTCAATTTTTGGTGTTCTGCATTCATACTGCCTCAAAAATGTCTGGACGCAATTGAGAGCATGTGTTGTGCCTTCCTCTGGTCAGGTTCTCCTACAAGGACTCGCCAAGCAAAAGTGAGTTGGGAAGATGTATGCTATCCTAAAGACGAGGGAGGACTAAGCATCAGAAAGCTGCGGGAATCAAATCGAGTTTTTGCATTGAAACTCATATGGCGTCTGTTTACTAAGCCTTCCTCTCTATGGGTTTGTTGGGTAAATCACTATCTTCTCAAGTATAGCTCCTTTTGGGATGTACGGGACGATACAAAGGGCTCCTGGATTTGGAGAAAATTGTTGAAGCTCCGGGATGTTGCCTATAAGTTACTCAGGATTGATATTAAAGATGGGAAGCAATGTCATTTCTGGTTTGATGATTGGATAGGTAAGGGGCGGCTGATTGACATTACTGGTCCGATAGGCACTACCTATTTTGGAGTTCAGAGAAATGCAAAGGTTAGTGATGCTGTGACTACACAAGGATGGTGCTTTGGAGGACAGAGAAGCCGGAGGTTTCAGGAGCTGCGAAGTGATATTCTGGAGGTGGAGCCACCACACGCAGACAGTGGAAGTGACATAGTGCTGTGGAAATATGGGGAGGATGATTTCCGCGATTTTTTCTCATCTTCAAGAACGTGGGAGGAAGTGAGATCCAAGAGAGCCAAAGTGGAGTGGAGTCGTCTGATTTGGTTCCCTCAAGGGGTTCCTCGGTATTCATTTATCGCCTGGCTGGCAATCAAGAACAGGTTATCGACTGGAGATAGAATGAGACAATGGGGAGTTCTTCAAGTCTGTGAGTTTTGTGGGGAAAGGGATGAGACAAGAGATCACCTCTTTTTTGCATGCCCTTATTCCTACACGGTTTGGGAGGCTTTGGCGAGGAGGTTATTGGGTAATACCATCAACCCTGACTGGCAGTGGACACTGCGACGTATTCAACGCATGCGACAGGCGGCAGGGGACACCATCTTGGCCAAGCTTCTATTGCAGGTCACAATCTACCACCTTTGGCGTGAAAGGAATGCCAGGCGCCATGGGACACTTCGGGTCAACTCGGACTGTATGAAGACGCTTATAGAGAAGGCGGTTCGTAACAGAATCACTTCACTCAAGTTCACAGCAGATCACAAGTATGGAGGCTTGCGCTTACGATGGTTCGAGCTCACTTGTTGAATTTTTTTTTTCTTAAGATAGAGTAGTGACACATATGTACATAACATTCTTTTGATTGATTAATAAATATGAAATTTCATCAAAAAAAAATTAAAAAGCAAACTAAATATTAAAAAGAATTTTTAATAATGATAAAATATAATATTTATATTTCATTAATAGTGTATAGTGCTACGCTATTTAAAAGAATTTGGAAACTATTTATTTTTGTAACAAAAAGTTTTAATTTCCTTTTTAATATCTCTTAAATAAACACTAAATATGTTATTTTAGAAAATTTTCAAAAGTTTTATCAAATTTCGTTTATATATAAAGATTTATATTTCATAAACATTTCCTTTTTTATTTATGTGCTTTAAAAAAGTAAACTTAAATTACAAAAATTAAGTAAAATCTTATTATGAAAAAGGAAATACAATATTAGCATTTAATATTTTTATTTCATTAAGGGTATCTATGTAATCAACCATCGTGAGAGTTAACGTGAGCGCGACACGTAAGAAACTGACTTCTCAAATAATATTATAGAGATGTATTTAAAAGTAAAATCTAAAATTATTAAAATTAGACATATTATAGCTTCGTTGTTGGCAAAATAAACGATTAATATAAAGAACAAATGAAATAAAAATAATACCCTCTCCTTTTCAAAATAGATGATGTTTAGAAAGCTTTTTATGTTTTAAAATAGATAATGTTTTCATATTTTAATGTACTTTTTAACTTTATCAAAAACTGTGCAACCAATGATTTAATGTAATCTATTTTGTAACTGGTTGAATCATTTTTAATAAATATTTTAGTGATATTTTTTTATATAAAAATAGAAGTTTCTTAATAGTTATGAACAACCTTAATACATCATATTCAAAAACGAGGAAAGTATGATTAATAGTATATCATATAGATCTCATGTTCTAAAAATTGAGCGCCTATGCGTTGGTCGCCTAATTTATTTTTTACTTATTTTTATTTTTTATTTTTTTTAAAATAGTTTTTTATTATTTATTATATTATAAGTGCAACTTGTTTGCAAATTTTTTGATGAAAATTTTGCCATATTAAATTTATACTTTTATATTTGTATGTTTTCTACAATTTTAAAGATAAAAATGTATTAATTTTCTCGCTAGGCAATAGAAGTATTAAACAATCTAAAAATGTCGCCCTGTATAATTCCCGATTTTCTAGCTAGGCGGTAGGTCTGATCCAGCCGTCCACTAGGTCTGATCTTCTTCTTTTGTCACTCGGTTTCACCAAAATCTTGTCTTCTTTCCACATAAGCTGTCAATAATATATTTAACTTAAAATTCAGACCTTACAAACCAGATTTTAAACTAGTTTTGAAGCTTTTCTTAAGGAAGATTGCGTCAACAAATAACCAGAAAGTTAAAAAAAAAATATCATCATTGTTCATTTCTGGCAATGTTTGTCAGATCAGTTCTTCATCATATTCAGTCTCTAATTGCTAAATCAGCTAATAACGAGAGGAACCTCTAGCAGCCAAAGTATTTTTCCTTCTTCAGCACAAATTCAACCAAAGCTTTATGACTAACTGTACCTCAAAGTGTGCATATCCGCATGAAGAGGTGTTGACTAACTACTCATAGCTTCCCAGTAACAAAATTAACTAGTTATTATGATCAGAAATAGAACCGGTTATAAGTGAAAGCAAAAGGATTAATGGCCACAGACCTTAACTTTTAGAGAGAAACAGAGGATGTGATTCAACAACACTTTACCAAGAAACAGGAAAAACAAAAGTTAATACATTACTATAAGAATCATGGAGAACCGAAGTTGATAGGCACACAAAACTCTTGAACATTGATATGACTGGAAATGAAGTTGTGTGAGGAAGGAAAACAAAGGATAAAATTCTTAATTGATAATCAAACCAACAGAAATGCATACAGAAGAAAAAAACCCAGAGAACGAAAGAGACTGGGACTGCAAAAGAGTTCCCACTTATTAAGAAAGATCCATCACATGTCTAAGAGCTTAAGTTATTAAACAACATCATCGAATGACAGAGGAGTTCTGGTGGCTGACAACTTTTTCTTCTGCCCCTCCGCAAGAGAATCAAGCTCTTTAAACTTTCGCTTCAGTTTTAGAGCTTTTTCCTCAGTTTCTTTGAGCATGGCCAAATATGAAAGCTCTTTCAACTTTTTTGCTCTCACTTGCTCCAGATTCTTCTCCAGCCAATCAACCTTAAATCCTGCATCTTTCACATGTTTGAGTGCAATGGTTGCTCCAATTAGATCTTCAATTGATAGCTCGTGAAGTGATTTGCACAAAGTCTCAATTAAGCCGAGAAGGGAACTCATGCATGCGCTCCTAACATGTTGGTTCTTTGCACGAAAATCAACAGCAATGTCAGGATGCTTCTCAAATATACGCGTCACAGATCCCACCTGTGAGTGGAGACAAACATGAAAACAAGAAATAAAAAACGTTTAAGGATTGGATGTGTAAGATATAAAAAAAAAACTCCTATGAGATGTAGAATTCTTTGGTCATCACATTAAAAAAAAAAAGAAAGAAATACACGATTAATAAATGTCTTACTTGTGAAGGAAAAACTAGAAACCCATTGACATCAACGCTTTCCATTGTTGATGAACCTTCCAATAACAAAACGCTAGAAACCGCGCTATTATTTTTCTCTATATTAGTCTCAGGTTTGGTTGTAATCTCGGTTTCCACTGGTACATCTTCAAGGACATCAACTTCAACAACAATCTTAACTTGATTGTTTACAAGGAAGCCACTATCTTTGCCAAGAAATTTTTGAGCCAAAAACACTGATGTATAAGCCATGTCCAAATTCAATGGATTAAACCATTGTATTCCTTCTGTAAAATTTCACCTCAATGTTTAATAAAAATCTAATAAAGTATATTTTCTGAAAATAAAACATAAAAAAATCACTGAACTAACACATTTAATCTCACATGCATATAAAAAACCATATAGGAATATATGATACGGACATGACAAGTTGATCTCGATTGTGAATCCACCAGTGAATTTTTTTTTGACCAAATTATTAATCCACCAGGGATTAAGTTTGAGAAAGAAATACCTCCAAATATGGAAAGCTCTTCGGAAAATTGATTCACTGACGTTAGGCGATACTTAAAGCATCTTCTTCGTTCAGTAGGCAAAGATGAACCGTAGATAATACGAATACACAAGCCCTCAAGTTTGGTTGCAGTACTGCGATAAGCTTCAAGGTAGCTGCCAATAAACACAAGATAAATGAAGCATTACAATTTAAATGGAAAAAAAAAGAAGAGGGGTTAAGTGTTACGTTTACCAGTCGTAGCCAGTAGTGCCAATATCATAAATATCAGAATCACGAGTTCTAGATTTCATAGAGGAAAAGTTTTTTATCACCCAAGTAAACTTCGTTCCACCTAGCTTGGCCATCGGTCTGGAGAAATTTCTCGCAACAAAACAACAAGAGCATGAGAATAATAAACCCTTAGAACAGAAGTAAACACAAACAATCAAAAAAAAATCCAGAAAAGTAGTTTAAGATTTAACTGAAGACTCTGAGCCGTTTCAACTACGTACAACACTATTACCGAAGTTTATCCTCAAACTAGAGTATTTGTAGAGCACAAACAATGCAGCACTACTTAAAGAAAACACAGGAATGCAAAACGTTTTTTTAAAAAAATTTTAGCAAAAAAAAACTTTTTATTATAACGTTGGGAAGGAAAAAGGTATTAAACTTTTGAAAAACATACTATTAAAAAGAGGAATCGCTTTTACTCTTCATCGCGTGTTCCCAACTATCCAGGTTCGTCTCATCTTTTAAACTTTTGAAACTAAAAACAGGAGTGCAAAACTTTTTGATTACGTCGACCTAGGAGGAAGCAAATGCTTTTAATCATCTTTGCATTAATAAAATTAAGGCATTTGCCTTAAAACTCCCATGATATTGATAGTGTGTATTTTTTTGGGAGCCCATTTCTAATACTTTTAGTTTTATGATAATAAAATTCGTATTATAGTGCTATTTTTTCTTTAATTGTCTTAAGATTAATATAATAATATCAGTCATCTTATTTTTAATCAGTTTTTAACCCATTTTCAACAATTTTTAAAACATAATTTGAACTTCTTTTTTATACAAAGCCTATGACATATTTAAAATTTCATACTAATTGTTTTTTTTATTTGCCGTAGGCTTCTTGCAGGGTAGGCACACCACTGTTCCCAAGAAGAAGTTACTTATTGTACATAAAAGGAGGCACGCCAATGTCTAATTGCTTAGTGAACATAAACTGAGTAAGAGTCACTATTGTTAGCTCATGCCAGGTAATATCTACCATCATGTTAAATCATGCATGATAAAATAAGAAATTCGTATGTCAAAAAAACTGATGAAATTTCTTCTCTTCTTTTTTTAACATAAAGATTTATAGATATATCAAATTATACATGGGCGTACTCGTTAAAGTTTGGATTAGGTATTTCATGTAATTCGATATAAGGGGTTTGGAACCTATTAGGGTATTTTTTTTCATATCCGGTCCGTTTAAATATTTTAGATTTTGAAAAAAAAATCCAATTCTTAGTTAGTCAAATTTCTTATACTTAAAAATTTACAAATAACTTAACTGATTTAAAAAAAAATTAATAGGTTGAAGTATTTGTAGGTTTGGACGATACTTAAAACATCTTCTTCGTTCAGTAGACAAAGATGAACAGTAGACAATATGCACACACACACACGCCCTCAAGTTTGGTTGTAGTATTGTGATTAGCTTCAAGGTAGCTAGCTGCCAATAAACACAATATAAATGAAACATTACAATATAAATGAACAAAAGAGGGGCTAATCAAACAAATAGAAACGCATACAAAAAGAAAAACCATAGAGAGGGTAACTGCAAATGAGTTCACACTTATTAAGAAAGAAGCTCAAATGTCTAAAACAAAGACAACATAGCACCAGATGAGTAAGAGATCAAGTCCATCAAACAAGATCATCGAATGACAGAGGAGTTCTGA